GTTGGCTCGCGGCGATGGTCATCGGACACGGTAGCCGAGAGAGCGGCGAGAGAGAGGGTATAGCCGAGAAAGCGGCGAGAGCGGGAGTAGCCGAGAGAGCGGCGAGAGAGAGGGTATAGCCAAGAAACGAGGCCAGAGAGGACGGTAGCCGAGAAAGCGGCGATGACGAGAGAAATTGAGCGAGAGTTAGAAAAACAAGTAGAGAATATGAAGCGGGAAGCCGAGAGAGCAGCCGGGGAAGCGGCAGCCAAGATGGCGGACTTGCAGAGGAGATTCGAGGAGGCAGAGGAGAGGAGTTCAGCGGAGGAAGCCGCGAGAAGGAGAGTGGGTGATGCCGGGTATGCAGCAGGTAACATGAGGATAGGCGGCGCTGGCTATGCGCCTGGGTACCATAGCTGGGATGGAGCTGCCGGAGGGGCGGCTACTTTGGGAGCCGGGGGGACGGCTAGTTTTTTCGATGATCGGAGGCAGCAGCAGCGTGACCGCGATTACGTGCTGAAGGACTGGAAGCCACCGGTACACGACAGCAACTTCCCACTGTTCAAGTCGCTGTTCGAGCTCTTGCTCGCCCGCGAAGATCTATCACACACACTCGCCAAGCCGGCGAGTCCAGACCAATGCATCTGGCTCCTCAATGGACTGCCAAGGAGCGAAAACGTCTGCTTGCACGGTGAGCGTCGCGTGAGCGATCATGAGTATGCTTTTGAGTACTTGATGCGCGCCAGGAAGGGAGCAAACTTGCAGGCTAGAATCCTTGCCGTTGGGACTGTGTCTGGGGCGTGGGAGGCTGCACAACAGTTCTGCCTGCCAATGAGTAACTTCGAGCAGGAGGCACTGAAGCTGTCTCTCACGAACATGAAGATGCAGCTTGGAGAGGACCCAAAGGAGTACCTTCTTAGGTTCGACAGAGTGTTGTCTACGCTCCGCGCCGTCAACGGCGATGCGATCACGGATAGAGAAGTCCTCGCGATGCTTCGTAGGAACCTCTCCGCCGACTACGAACAGGTCCACATTCTCTTCATGGCCAACAGCTCGCTCACGCGCAAGAACTTGGAGAATCTTGTGCGTAGCCTCTACGCCGAGAGAGACCTCGGGAATGTTGCGCGGCGGACGGCAGCGGTAACGGCGACACACACGCTCTTCGTGTCGGCGGTGGAAATTTTCGGCGGGACTGTTGGGCACGGTTGTCTCGTCAACAGCAGCACGGTCGACAGCAGTCCTGCGGAAGTGTTCACGTACAGCAACCGTTGCAGCAGCAGTGGAGGTACGACGTGTTTGGCAGAGGGTGTACTTTTCAGCAGCAGCAACAACAACCGTGCGTGCAGCAGAGGTTCGTGCCACAGCCATCGGTGCAGCAGCAGCCCATGCCACAGCAGCAGTCTCGTCAACACCAGCAACCTCTACGGTCCTGCAACGGCGCTCCTGGTACAGCTCCAGCTTTCGCCGGCGGACCGTTTCAGCAGCAGTGGAGGAACGGCGAGTTTGGCGGCGGGTCTGTGTGTCGGCAGCACCAGCAGCAGCAGCCAGGCGTGGTGTACGGCGGTGACTCTCAGCACAGCCGCGGTAACAACAGCTAGCCGACGGCTTCACCGGGGGTGCACGTGGACAGGTGCGTAGTGGGGTGTTCGTTGGTGAGAAGGGGGGGGGCTGCTGCCGGTTCGTCTGCGGCGTATTTGCCGGTAACAGCCCCCGCCAACGTAGCTTCTCTCAACGTAAACACACACTCCGCCACTCGCTCTCCCCAGCGGCCCGCGACATCACGTGTAGCACCTGCAGTAGTGCGGCAACGCGATGAGCTGAATCTCACGGAGGGCGGATACAGCAGTAGACGTGTAGCGGAGGAATACATGCTTGGATCGTATCACGTTGTTGTAGTTTCGCCGTCCGCCGAATCACAACAACCCAAGCATTCGTCGGAAGCGGCAGTAGCAGCAGCGGGGTCCCCGGTCGCCGCGTTGGCAATGGATATACAGACGGCCGCAGCGGCAGCGGCGGCGGCAGCATCGGCGAGCGTCGGCGGCGCGGACGGGTTCGGCCAGAGCGCCGTCACCGACAGCAGCATCGGCGGGAGCGGAGGTGGTGCGGACGGTTTCGGCCAGAGCGCCGTCCCCAACAGCAGCATCGGCGGTGGCGGCATCGGTCACGGGGGGAACGGCAGCAGCAGCAGCAGCGGCGGCGTCCCCGGTCGCCGCGTTGGTGTTGGGTGTCCAGACGGCCGCAGAAGCGGCGGTGTCAACATCGGTGACTGGGGCAACGGCAGCGGCGGCAGCAGCAGCGGAGTCCCCGGTTGCCGCGTTGGCGTCGGGTATCCAGACGGCCGCAGCGGCGGCGGTAGCGACATCGACGATGGGGGAAACGGCAACCGGCGACAGCAGCATCGACGTCCCCGGTCGCCGCGTTGACGTCGGGTGTCCAGACGGCCGCAGCGGCGGCGGCGGCGGCGGCACCGGTGACGGAGGTATGTGACGAAGAGTTGGAGGAAGCGGTTGGTGCGACAACCATGCCATTGCCAGTCCTCGAGGAGCTTGATAGCCAATGTGCTGGGGGGGATGTGAGCAACAGCAGCACCAGCAGCAACAGTAGCAGCAGTTGCAGCAGCGAGGACAGCGGCGGCGATGGGAGCGGGGACGAGGGGTTGGATGAAGTATGGAGTAGAGCCCCGACGCACCCCTTCGACCCCCGTACGACATTTTCGCATTGCGCGAGGAGACGGGGGGCGGTGCCAGGGGTGGCGTACTCCTTCGATAGGGGCAGGACCAGGAGTGGCGGCTTCGGCCAGAGCTCCGGCGGCGACACCGGCGGCAGCAGGAGCAGCGACGGGAGTGGTGGCTTCGGTCAGAGCTCCGACGGCGGCAGAAGACAGCAGCGGCGGCTTTGGCCAGAGCCCCGTCGGCGGAAGCAGCGACAACGGCGGCGGTGGTAGAGACTGCAGCAGCGACGTCACCGGCAGCCGTGTTGTCGCTGGAACTCATTACGGTCGTAGCGGCGGGGGTACGGCAACGGTGGCGATGGCAGCGGCGGGAGCAGCGGTGGCGCCCTCGAGTCGACCGGGAACGGAGAGGACACGGTGACGGCGACGACCTCACCTTATTACAGCCATGTGGGAGAACATGTGAAACGTTTACGACTTTGTTCGGTTTTGTGAGCAGACATGGACGTTTAAGATTCGCCATTTGGCTTCGCATTTGTTCTTTTTAGTTCTGTTTTTCCATTCCTAGCGCACCGTGCGCATTGGTGAAGACAACACGTGTGTGCCACAGCGTGTGCATACATATACTCGTATATATTTACATTTTTTTGTACTTGCATGATAATTGTACGCTGCGACAAGATAAGCATTGCCACAACTATTTTTCCTTGGTTCTTGGTATATTTTCAGTCGCGTTTCACCTTGCAAGTGAATGCTTCATATTATTTCCGTACTACTTGGAGGGAAGTTGGCCGCGCTCACGAAATGGCATGTTAGCGCGTTGTTTGACACGCATGAAGGCATACCGCTCAGGGAACAGGGGGCCTTTTGGACATTGTACTGGAGGAAGGATTTGACATGTTTGGACGATTTGTGATTGGGGTCGTTGTGCTTTCCGAATTCTCGTTTTGATTGGTCAAGAACTTGAGTTTTTGTTTTGTTTGAGGATTTGGTGCCAACTCTTGCAAAGTTGTTTTTTCTAGAAATATCCGTTTTCGTTCCGACGCCTTTCTGACGTAGCACAAAAAATCATTGGGCAGCTTTCTGAGGATGATTCTTTTGTGTTAACGGTTTAAGATTATTTCCAGAGGCGAATGCGTTGGATTTGTGAATAAACTGATGGAGGCCCTTTTGTGTTGAATGCGTAGCCAGTTTTGTTGAATAAGTTTTCTCAAGGGGTGTTTTTCTGTGTTGGCTTATTGCGCGTAAAGGGTTGCAAGATCGTACATTGTATCAAGTAGGGGGGCTGTTTGTGATACTTGGATATGAGTTCGATCTGTGCATCCTCCGTGGGGGATACGCGTATGGGAAGTATAAATGTGATGGATATGTATGCGGTTGGGGTCCAAGTGCGCCCCCCCCGGGTGAGCACACGGCGGTGTGCTCCCGGCACTTGCCTGTGGGGTGACCATCTTTATCCTATGTAATATATATACATACATGATGGCTATGCGCGTTCCTGGGAAAGCATAGTACTCAGTCTCAACACCACAGACCGCTAAGGGCGGCAGTGCACACTAACATGGGGCATGAAGTGCTACATCGACCGTGTTTCGTCTGACATCTAAAGGGTGAATGTTTTCTAAAACCTCAAGGGTAGTTAATTAACGTGTTTCTCGTGTCCAAACGAATGAACGCGTCCTACGTGCTCTGCTACATAGGATTCGCGAGAATACGTGTATTTGCGCGGTCCCCCTCCACAGCGCGAAGGCCGCGAAGGAGATCGAACGAAAGGATCCAGTCCCTGGATTCATGTTTTTTTGTTTTTTGTTCTCCCATCATTGGACTCTGTCGTCTGCCCCTCTGGCCCCTATTCTCCACTTCTACTAGCTAGACGACCCAACCGGGGTCACATAGAAGGGGGGGGCTGGACCCCCTCCTGCGGTTCCTGCCTGAGGTATTTTTATCGCGAGAAGGGTACAGCCCTTCCCTCGCGACTTTCGAAGTCGATTATGGTTTACTAACAACGAGCTTTGCAGCGCGTCACTTTCATCCTAGACGAGGATTTATTTAGTGAGAAAACAACTCACTCTGCCGGGACTCGAACCCATAACCTGGCCCTTAGCAGGCTGCGAGGTTACCCACTAGACCACCGGGACGACCAGTCAGTGTTATTGTGGATGGATGACAACACCAACTTTCCTCCAGCGTCATCTAGTTTGGCCCTCCACAACCCGCGGCTGATCTCTCGATCTGACTTCTATGTGTTCATTAGGGTGGTCACCACAGAATCTCAGCAATGCCGTCCCTACGATTGTGTCTGGACCTTTCTCCACTCCCTTTGCACTGGATGTCTGTCCCTACGGCTTGACGTTGTTCGGTTGTTTGGATGGTAGACGGATCGAAGGATATTTCTCTACATCACCGGGCCCACCTTTATGCTAGACCTTTTTGGAATAATCACTTCATCATAATAAGGGCAAACCGATAGAATATTGCCGTTTACAACAGACTGTTTGGCCAGGTTCGATGAAATCTACGTGTGACTTGAGTTGTCTGATAAACGATTTACCCGGTGTTTTTGGGTTGGTGTGAATTTGAGCGCCGGGACCTGAGTCGGCGGTCTACGAAGTCCACCACTAATCTCGAAACCGGAAGTACATTATTAATTTGCTGAACGCTGTGGTTTTCGATTCGCTGCTTGGGAGCAAAACCGCTGTTCCCCAGAAATGATCCCACACACACTACAAGGAAAGCGTAATCACGAATGACCGAGACACAAACATTAGCAATGACTTGCCCAGTGTGTCTCGTAAACATCCACAGATTCATGATAGAGCCGCGGCGAGAGAACGGCGAGTTGTCCTGTTGGAAACTTCTTAAGAAGGCTAAGATCTATGTTGATGATGGCGGCACCAACGCTTGGAGAGAGACCTGGCACGACTCGAAGGTAACGGAATAAATGTGACAAAGAAGGATTGCCGAGCTACATTCAGGAAGAGATGGTCATGGTTTAGGAGACATCTTCCGCGAGAAAGTCCGAGACGCACCATGGTTGCATTACTCCCCTCGTCGCTATGAAAGAAGTTGGATGCATGGAATCAACAATACCTCGTGTGCGACACCTCTCCCACTCGCGGTTTCGTTGGTTTTGGTGAAGATATAAAAGATTCACAACTGACTATCGTAGGGAAGGCAGATCAAGACATGAATAATGCAGTGAACAGCCCAATCACCCTATCTGGATTCAGCATGGACCGAGCACAAGAGTACTCCAAAAGCATATGCTAGCTGATAGCCAAAAATCTAACATTGTAGGTACGCTTGCCGTTCTCTTCGGAAACGACTTGGAACCTGACGCTTTCGGTATGCTCCATCGCCTGGTAGGTCATAATGAGCAACCCGATGCTGGACCCAGCGTTCGAGAAGCACGTCCAGGACTACCTGTGCTCAGAGTCCTATGACTTCGTCAAGGAGGTCGGTGCAACCAAGCCATGATTGTACGAACAACAGTAGCGTGTTTAGAGACGAACGATGTTCGGAGATCAAGTCAGTCCGGCGCGGCGTAACGCGTTACATCAATATTTTGTCGCAATCATTTTGCCGAAGCCACCTTTCGAGTCATTGCTGTAAGAAATACACCGCTGAACCCATCCATTCCTGCCACACTTTAGGCCGTGACAACATTGTTCCAAAACAAAATTATTCATCCATTCCGCTTCATTGAAGTAAAGTTTTACCAACGCGAGTGAGCGTTAATTGCTGTCATTTCATTGTCGTTGCTGCAATACAAAAATACTACGTTTTTGTGGTCACACATTAGGGATAGAGGAACACAATACACACACCATTTCATTGGCTGCAAGGCACTGCACATAAATCTTACGCAACCCGTATCTCCCGCCACAAATGTTTTCAGCCGGAGGCTGCTACAGTGCTGCAAACGTAGAGTCCCGAAACTAACCAAGTCTCCAAGAGGTACACCGTTCGACTACAGTACACCCGCCGACTAGGAACCGAATAGTCCTGTTTGGGGTGCTCGACAGAGTATACTGTCTACCGGGCCTCCGGGGGGTACGCGGAAGGAATGTATTGACGGACATGCTGCATGGCGATGGTGTGGCCTACCGCATGTCTCTCACTCTCTAAGCAACAAGGTCTTGAGTCAACCTTCTTCCTCTTTCGGCCTCTGACGAGCTACCGCACCCAAACACAATATATTGTATGTCCTGGTGTTGGTGGTGGGTACTGGCGTCTGAGCGGTGGGAGCTGGGCCATCGGGGCAGCGGACACCATTTTCATAGCTGGGATCGCGGCCAAAGGGGGCGAGGACAGCAGTGCATAGCTGGTGCGGTGGCCATTGCGGGGACCGGGACAGCAGGGTTTATAGCTGGGACAGCACTTCGAGGCTGGGACAGCAGGGAGGGTTTAGAGTTTTAGTTTGATATGTCTGGAACGGAGGAGGACGCAACTCTGAGCGCGAGGTTGGATGAGGCGCTACGAGCTATAGAGGAGGCCAAGGCTGAGACGAAGGAGGCCAAAGCTGAGACGGAGGAGCTTAGGGCAGCACAGCGGCGGTCTGCGGGTGCACCTGCCGGCAGCAGCTCAGGAGGCGACGGTCTAGTTGCTCCTGGAGGGGCTTCATCTGCACCGGTGAGGCCAATGTGGCCAGGCGGGGTGAGTCATGATGGCGGTACTGGGGTGCCGGGTTTGCCTCTGGGAGGTACAATTGTCAGAACTCCTGTGCCTAGAATCCTGTCGAATTGCACCGCCGACACCTTTCTCAGCTGGCAGAGACACTTTCTGGCCTACGTGGACAACCATAATCTCCAGCACACAATCTTCGGCAGTGCTGAGGTTCCCGTTGTCAGTTGTCAGGATGAA